AGCGGCTAAGATTGGGGATACAGTTGATTGTTATCAGATGGTTTATATGCTCCTTGACACGACTTGCTGCTGCCTTTCCAAAGTCAATTTGACATTGATGGGAAATAGCTTATCGCAACGCGAGGCTACTCATGACGCAATTCTATCGCTATCGTGTCTGCGATGTTCCAATCGCAGACCCTGCTGCGTGCGCTGCAGTGTTAGTGCCGACCCAACTGGCATCTCGGAGAGCTCCCCTGGTCTCCTTACAGTCTCCTTACAGGCGGCGTCTCCTGCCAGCCACCCGTAGACTAATTGGGGACGGGCAATGGGCGGCTCTGCGGGATATTCACAGATCAGATCATGTCATACATGCCTGTAGGCTGTAAAACACAAGTCAGACTCCTGGTAAAGCTCACCTAGTCCATTGCAAACCTCCAGGCTGGGGTCAGGAGACCATACGCACATTGGGTCCAACCAATTCCGGACGTAGGCGTCTCAGGCAGTGAATTGACAGATCTTGCTTTTGTTTTGTGAACACAACGGCTACCCCATCCGGAACATCGCCTTCAACGGCCGGGCGCTGTCTTGGATGAATGCCAACGTCAGGGGATGTTTATTTAATTCGTATTGTTTGGATAGACCTCATAGCAATGTGCACTGAGATGTTGTATGAGAGAAAGCTTCACCCACCTACCTAGGTAGCTTGGTACGAATACAGTGTAGCCCAGCAGCCCACTCCACGTCCAGCGCTCCACCACTGTGCGTCTGGCATGCGATTCTGAGAAGGCTCACGACGTGTCTGTGATGGCAATCTGGCACGATAACAACAAACCGGTTCCACAGCACTGATGCAGATTGCTCGTACTGGCTGGATACCCTGCTGGCCTGGCCTGCTACTGGCCGGGGAAGTGGCCTGTCGCACCTCACTCGCCCTTCATCCTTGCCTGAAAGGAGCAAAGCACGCGGAGGACGGCAGGCCACACCACGCAAGAACACGGGGGAGCCGAGTTCGAGTTTTCATGTCCAACAAGCTGAGCTCGACATTGGTCGCTAAAAGCACCCCAACCTTCAGCGTGCCATCCTCCACCACCACTTCGGAGGTGGCGAGCTGCTGAATGGCTCGCTGGAAGGCCATCCACCTGCTATGATTCGGTCTGCCGTTTGTGTTGAGACGCAGGCATCGACAGGGAGGTGTTCGGGTGGCGGCATCGTGTTTTTATCGTTCCTCTCTAGCGGCCTGTCGCTTCCGATGCAGCAATTCTCGTTGAAATGGTTGCCCCAGACCAACGGATCCCCAGGCGGAAGGGCCGCACAGAATGCGGAGAGAAGAGACACTGGAGAGCGTGACAGCCCAGCCCAATTGACCAGAATGGTACCTACCTACTTGCTTGCTTGCCTGAAGCTGCGAGCTACTCGCCATCACAATCGGACAAGCCAAGTGCGTTGCCCCACGACGTCATACCATATGCACCACGCTGATAATATACCCGAGCTCTTCCCTATGTTGCGTCTGATAAAATGAAAGTCTAATCCATCCCAAGCTTGCCCCAAGCAGTGCGGGGGAACCATCTATCTTGGACACTGACATACGCTGCATGACGACAAGTGCCTTCGATATCAATCTGCCATCTTCGATTGTTTTGCTCCCCGCCTTTCCCACCTACTTTGTTGCTCAAGTGAGGACGAGCCCAACGTTTGATCGAGATTCTTAGGATTCCAGGCTCGCCCAATTCCTGACGAGATTGCTACCAATCTGCGCATTCCTTGTCTAGCTTCAGACCCCTACCGTCCTACGTTACCTTAGGAAAGGTCTGAATTCCCAGCTTAGCACAGGTACTTGTCCATAGCTCTCTGAGCTCTCCCCGACCTCAACATTTCACACGCGGGGCACGGTAGCTTCCCAATCGACTTTCCTCTAAATCATCTTACCTTACCCTGCATCAACTCCCTTCTGAGCAACATCTGACGTTCTGCGTCTGCAATTGATAGATACCAACAACAACCAACTGCCGCGAGACCTACCCCGCCATTCAATCATCTGGCCGTCCCAAGCGCAATCGACATTATTCGCCATGGCCGCCATTGTCGAGAACTCGGCAAACTCGATCACCCTCAACGGGAACCAGGGAGCTGCCGAGGGCATCCCCAACGATGGCACTGGTGAGAAACACGGGACCCTGAGGCTCTGTTTGAGCATTTGCTAATCGCGTGCAGGTGTCGTGAAGCTCGATCCTTGGCTGTCGCCTTTTCAGGAATCCCTCAAGCGACGCTACGCCCGCGCCCAGGACTGGATCCAGAAGATCAACGATACCGAGGGCGGCATTGAAAAGTTCTCCAAGGTACAAAAAATGCATGTCACCGAATGTATCGATCTAGAACTGACCGATCGCAGGGCACGTCCATCTTCGGATTCAATGTAGACAAGGACAACAACATCGTCTACCGCGAGTGGGCTCCCAATGCCACCCAGGCCTTCCTCACCGGCGATTTCAGTAAGACTTACGTTTTGCGTCTCCTGCTAGAAACTTGCTTACCTGGAATTCTCAAGACAACTGGGACAGAAACTCCCATGAGATGACAAAGAACAACTTTGGCGTCTTTGAAATCACTCTCCCTGCCGTCAATGGCGGAGCTGCCATTCCCCATAACTCCAAGATCAAGGTCAGTGTCATACTGTTACTGCGCTGGATCGCGCATGAGCTCATTGGCGACTAGATTTCCTTGCAGCTCCCGAGCGGCGAGCGCGTCGACCGTCTTCCCGCATGGATCAAATACGTGACGCAAGACTTGTCCATATCCCCAGCGTACGAAGCTCGCTTCTGGAACCCACCCGCAGCCGAAAAGTACGAGTTCAAACACCCGAGACCGCAGAAGCCTAAGAGCGCTCGCGTCTACGAAGCACATGTTGGAATTTCCTCTCCTGAGCTGAGAGTTGCGACCTACAAAGAGTTTACCCACAACATGCTGCCTAGAATCAAGAGCCTTGGGTATAACGTCATTCAGCTCATGGCGGTCATGGAGCATGCGTACTATGCCAGCTTTGGTTACCAAATCAACAACTTCTTTGCTGCGAGTAGCCGATATGGACCACCCGAGGACTTGAAGGAGCTGGTCGATACTGCTCATAGCATGGGCATCGTCGTGCTTCTTGACGTCGTTCACAGTCACGCCTCCAAGAACGTATTGGACGGACTGAACGAATTTGATGGAACAGACCACCAGTACTTCCATGAAGGTGGCCGCGGTCGTCATGAGCTGTGGGATAGTAGGCTGTTCAACTACGGTCACCACGAGGTCATGCGCTTCCTTCTCAGTAACTTGAGATTTTGGATGGATGAGTACCACTTTGATGGTTTCCGTTTTGATGGAGTGACCAGCATGCTGTATCTACACCATGGTATTGGCACGTAAGTACTTTGAAGCATTCGTACCCTTATTGTAGGGTGAGCGCACTGACAAGAACAGTGGGTTTTCTGGGGGTTACCACGAGTACTTTGGCTCCGACGCTGATGAAGAGGCCATCGTCTACCTTATGATTGCCAACGAGATGCTCCACTCTCTCTACCCAGAAGTTATCACCGTTGCTGAAGATGTCTCTGGCATGCCCGCTCTCTGTCTCCCCCTTTCCCTTGGTGGTGTTGGGTTTGACTATCGTCTTGCCATGGCAATTCCAGATATGTGGATCAAGATTCTCAAGGAGAAGAAGGACGAGGACTGGGATATTGGCAACATCTGCTTTACCCTCACGAACAGAAGACATGGCGAAAGGACGATTGCCTACTGTGAGAGTCACGATCAGGCGTAAGTCTCCTCCTCCCTCCCTCTCTCTAGCCAACCTGACCATATTAGGCTTGTTGGCGACAAAACCCTGATGATGCATCTTTGTGATGCCGAGATGTACACCAACATGTCGACCCTCACCCCCTTGACGCCAACAATCGATCGTGGCATGGCCCTCCATAAAATGATCCGTCTGTTGACCCACGGTCTCGGCGGAGAAGGATACCTTAACTTTGAGGGTAACGAATTCGGGCACCCTGAGTGGCTCGACTTCCCGCGTGAAGGCAACCAGAACTCATTCTGGTACGCTCGTCGCCAGCTGAACCTGACTGATGATCACCTCCTTCGTTACAAGTTCCTCGACCACTTTGATCGTCTCATGAACACCACGGAGCAGAATTACGGTTGGCTGGCGGCGCCACAAGCATACATCTCTCTCAAGCACGAGGGAGACAAGGTTATCGTCTTTGAGAGGGCCGGCGTCGTCTTCATTTTCAATTTCCACCCCACCGAGAGCTACGCCGACTACCGAATCGGCGTTGAGGTTTCTGGAACGTACAAGGTCATTCTGAACACCGACCACAAGGATGTTGGCGGCCATGGTCGCATTGATGAAGGCACTCGCTTTTTCACCACGCCCATGGAATGGAACAACCGCAAGAACTGGACTCATGTTTACATCCCAAGCCGGACTGCTCTGGTACGTACCGTAATGAAGCGGACCTTTGCGCAAAAACTAACGATGTTTAGGTGCTTGGTTTGGAGTCTCCTGTCACCCAAAGCTCTTAGATATGGGGAAGTCGATGACTGAAGGACACCGTACCGGGAAACGTTTGAAAAGAAGATGAGACGGAAACGAAAATTAATTGAAGCTATTGTAACGAGAACCACGCAAAAGCAAATCATCTGTAGACCCAAACTAAATAGACTTATTAAGAGATGACTCAGTTGTTTACCTTCTGTGGTGTCACGGGATGCCTCACGCTTCACAGGTGACAGCTGTCACGGCGGCATATAATTTCTAAATCATTCATGGTCTGCGTATTAAAAAAACAAATGGAACTTTGCTTGGAATTCAGCTCTTTTGGTACAGTATTTACACCAAGCAGATGGTTGTCCTCGAGTCACGTCGCAAGCCCCCCAGCCCATGCCAGCTCTACTAGTTTTATACATGGGCAAACTGCCATGGTCGAATTGTGATTGTGATTCTAGAGACGAAAGGGAAAGATGGTATCGATTTAGTTCTTGGGAGGAGACTGGACCATGCCCTTGCCAGAGTAGCCCTCGGAAGAGAGACCGGTGATGGGGTCGGAATTTTGTGCCTAGGACGCGAGGGGTCAGCCATTGATCAGCCAGACAGAGGCCGTCTGTGTCGGTGCGGAGGGTTAATACCTTGAGGAACTCGTTGGAAGCCTCCTGGTACTCCTTGGTCATGGTGTCGGGAGCAGGGCCGGCGAGCATGCGGACGGAGCCGAAGATAACGAAGGTAGCGGCGATGGAGGCCATGACACCCCAGAAGACGCGGGCACCCTCACCGGGGGCAGGGCCGGCGCGGGGACCGTGGGGGCCGAAGGCGATCCAGTAGGCTGTTGAGACAATTTGCGTTAGTTTTTTTGTGAGGCTCTCTCGTTGTGACGCAATGCATATGCACAGGGATATGAAGCCCGGTCACATTGGACGGTCGTGCCAATCCAATTGGCGTTGCATCCATCCGGAGCTTGACCAAGAGGTATTTATATAGATGACCCGGGCCCGTCAAAGGGCAATTGGGATGGGAGGGGGGAAGGCGGGGGACGGGAACCGAGAGCTGTTCGCGAATAGCTTCGAACCCTCTCTCGGAACATCGGACCACCTGGCGATCGACGACAAAAGAAAATGTGTGTGGAATTTTCGGGTGAAGAACGCACCGGCCTTCTTCTCCTGCAGGGTCAACTCAGCCCAGGGGCCCTTCATGCGGTCTCTCAGCGCCATCCAGAGCTCGGCCTGCTCCTGGAGAGGCATGCCCTCCCATCTCTTCTCGATGTTGGCGAGCGTAGGGTTGGAGATGGCGTGGGTGGTGGCGGCGCGGCGGATGACGGATTGCTGGGTAGCGGCGCGCAGGCCGGCGCGGGCCAGGGAAACGGTGGGGGTTCTGAACATCGTGTCGGGTTCGTTATGTGTCGTCCAAGAGAGAAAATCGAGATACCGCTGGGCTCGGAGGGGAGAGGTTGTCAATTGACGGGGGCGGTCGGGTGGAGGTTGCTCGCGGGTTCGGTGGTCGAGGAGGTGGTTGTTCCGTTCGAAAGGGAAAAGAGGGTTTTTCTGGCTACCTAGAAGTTCCGGGCAATCGTATGATTGGAATTTCGATTGCAATACGCCGGCTGCGACTGGGTGATTGGGGCATCACGTGATGCAAAATGGTCCGTGCACGGACTGGGCTTCCAATGGGATCGATGGAATGGCCGGGGGTGCCAGCTGGGAGCTCACCTCGGTGTCTGGGCTGACAGCTTTTTTTTTTGTTGGTGGTGGTGCAAGTGCAAGCTCGGTTGTCGGTCCATTCCGAATACCGCCGTCGCCGTTTGACCGGGATCTTGATGGCGTCACTTGCGAGGCTGCGACTCAACGCGATGACATTTCATTTGGATTTGGCTTGTATTTCTATTTGTATACCATGCTGTCTATCGAAGAGTGCCTTCGTTTTTACCGCAATGGCTCTCGAGTTGCTGCACTGGGCCACCATTAGACAGCGCGAATAGCATCAAGGCGTTGTTGATGCATGCCCCTGCCGATTGACAAACTTGGGCAGCACATTTTCGCCGTCTCCGGCCAATGACCTCAGGAGAGGTTCTGTGGTGCTCATCGATCTATCTTTTGAGATCATGCAAGACAACAGCGCAGCTTCTAGCCAAGCAACCCCCAAGACTCAGCTTCGACAGCTGACAGCCGTTCTCCCGGTGTATTCGATCCCGAGTATGCTATGAATGAACCACGTAATTTGTGGCGCAACTATAAGAAGTCGATGGAATTATTGCGAATCTGAAAATGCGCGCCAGCCCTGTTGTCGGTATGACGCTGTTCTTGTGAACCTGTATTCACTCTGCCCGATGCCTGAAGCCTCCTATGTCTAAGGAGGACGAGCAAAGCTGGGAATGTCGTAGCCCGCCAGTATCCCCTCTAAGTTTCGAAGCTATTGTAGCTCATGAGTTCTCGTGGTGTCTATAAGATACGAGTTGGTCTCCGCTATCGTTTGGCTTGAATTGGCTGGTCAGGAGTTTTGGGTGCTCCAGATGCGGCGGCGTGGAGTTGGTCCCGTTCGCGCTCTTCCCTCAGTCTCTGTTGCTGTTCTAGTCCGGGCTTCAGAGTGTATACGGCTGCAGCGATCACCACTGTCAGTTTCAAGCCAAGAACGAGCTTCGCGATGCGCTTGCAGGGATAGGGAACGAACATATGCCGACGCCAGCTGTTACGGCCACAACGAGTGGAAGAATGTTCTTAGTAAGACTCATGTCTAGAGCTTTGGGATTACTGGAACTTGTGATTGATGATGCGGAAAGATAGGCGGTAAGGTCGGTGTTTGGAGAGTATCTCCAGCTTGAACCCAGTCGCAAATGTCAAGTCGAATGTGATGTAATTGAATACCGAGATCGGTAGCCGTAGCTGCCAGCTGGAGCTCTCGGTGCCGTCCCCAAAAAAAAGTTCGGCTCCGGCCGGCCGTGCACGCATTTGAGCTAAAGTGGTTCACCCCCGTAGCCACCCGCCACCGCGCGACAGCGCGTACCCCACCAAACGCGCTCACCGACCGTCTGAACGCGTCCGGCTTGAACACACATCGAAGTGCACGCTACAGCTAGATTCAAGGGTACCTGAATCTTAGGTAATGCACGGTTCGTTCCCGACCAAGCATCACATCCCAGGACTTCTTTTCTATTCACCCGAAATTCTCAAGCGCGTCGTTTGAGAAACCTTTGTTATACCATGTTTAGCTGTTTATGATGAACAATTCACGCCATGGCGAACTGGAAAGAACTGGGCGAGGTCCCAGACTCAGACGACGAACTGGACTTCGATAGCCAGGAATTCGAAGGAACCCATCAAGATGCCGATCTTCCCATGAAGAGACCCGATGAAGCCTTGCAGTCGCCGCAAGCCCCCGGAGACAGTGTGTGGGATGTCCCCCCCTCCTCCCAAGCAAACGCAGACGCGACTTCGAAGACGAATCCCCCGACCTCGAGCCCAGAGGAAACTAGACTTCCTGTCGAAGAGCCCGCCTCTTCGCCCCTTTCCTCGGCGCAAGATGTGGACGATCTCGCAGATATTTTTGACTTGGAGGACCTGCCAGCTGCGGCCCCTCCGCCGACGAGGCAAATGTACACAGTTGGCGGCCGAGACGAGTCCCCAGATCCTCTCGGAGGTGACGACAGCATATCTACAAGCTATGTCAAGATCACAGCCCCTCCGCCTGCGTTTCCCCGCGAGAACGATACTCGAAGCCTGTCGCCCCCTACAGCTCTGATGGCAAGTCCACCCAGGATGCCATTTAGCTCGCTGAGGAGAGGTCGAAGTCCAGCACAAAATGTTCAAAGCCTTCCCAGGAGTCAGCAGAGCCCACCATCGAGCCCGCAGCGTTCACGAACGAGTCCAGAAGGTCTGCCGAGAAACGGACTGTCCTCTTTGAGCAGTCAACCACGGCCACCAGTCAGACAGAGAGACTCGGACACGAGCAGGGACGAACAAATTGCGAGGGAATCTGCCGCCCAGCATGCCCGCTCCTTCAGGCCGCGAAAACCGATCCAGCAACATCCATATTTGATCGAAAATGCACAATACAGCAAAGTCTTCAAATCCCACGGATTACGGCCTGTCAGGATGCCAAATGAGCCGGCCGCCAGGCGACAGAGAGCCGATGAGGATTCTCAGGAGAAGGATTTCGAAGCAAGTCAAGAGAGCGTATTGGATGGACAGAACGAGACAACGGACGAGAGCCAGTCTCATAGATTGGAGGAACCGTTGAGTCACGACATCTTGCGAATGTCACTGTCGCCGTCTCCTTCTCCGCTTCGAACCTCATCACCCAAGCATAAGGGTGGACCGAGCAGTCAACCGAGCCAGGATGGAGAAACGGATAATACCAGCTTGTCCGACAACGGAGATCTTCCCTCGATTGACGAGATTTTCCGCAAATCGACGACGGCACAGGGTAAAAAGAGAAGAAGGCTTATGGGCACAGGCGTTGTCAGGTCTCGACCGGCGAAGGAGGTGGCCACGACCGAGCAGCCGCCTCCAGGTCCGACATTTCAGACGTATGATGAGATCTACGGCGTCCTCTCTTCTTCCCCTGTACCTCCGCAGCTACCGAATGCCCCCGTCGATTTAGGAGCCGGCTCTATCCCACCGTCTGGGACGGACCTTGCTCAAGTCCTCTTTGACGATGATGACGACGACGACCCCTTCCGGTCACCGTCGCCGCCGAGACGAGCTTCAGCTCCCGCAAATCATGAAGTTGTTGATGTTACAATGGCCGACATTTCTGCCGCAGAGGACGATCAACCTGATTTTGGAGACTTTGCTGCTATGTCTGCACCAGAATCCGAGGATGGTGCCGGCAGTGGTCCAGAGAGCGAATCGGAAGCCCTCAGAAACGTTGGTCGAAGAATCCGAGGCGTTCTCCCGGCATCATGGCTTAGACTTGACCAACAAGCAAGCCGCCCGAAGCCCGCACAACAGCATCATCGCGAACCATCGCCTGAAATGACGCAGCGACGTGGGGTTGCCGTCCGTCGTATTGGTCGCTCGACGTCTACAACAGCGGCGTCGTTCATTTTTGATGACTCCGATGAAGAACCAACGTCGGCGTCACGGTTTGCTGGGACTGCTCTGGTCAACGTTGATACGATGTCCCCGCAACGACGTAGACCACCGGTCATTGAGCTTGACGATGGGGACTCTTCCGCTATGGAAGATAACGGAGTTGATCAGATGGCTCCGAGCCGAAAACGCCAGATGACTCTCAAAGAGTCGTTCCGTCCAGCAAAGAGACTCAAGAAAAGCAAATCGACTTCAAATGCTCAGCCAAAGAAACGTGGAAGGCCTCCAAAAAGCGCAAGCCGATCCACCACAACACCCCGCCTGGATCCCTGGGTGACCACTCAGAAATCAGCGCCTGGTGCACCTCAAGCTATCGCCAGGGCAAAGACACCCCCGCGTTTGAGTATTCTGGATGTCATCGAGCCAGATGCGCCGCAGTTCTTGAAGGTTGCGGCGCGGGCAGCTCAGAGCAAACGCAATCTTGGAAGGTCAAGCCCGAGGAACAAGACAATTCGTCTAGCAACGAGGAAGGACAATGTCGATGCTGGGACAGTGTTGCAAAAGTGGAAAGGAAATAAAATACAGCCTCGCCAGGGGCTGCAACGCAAAAGGAGCACCCGAACTAAACCCACTGCGCGAAATCCACTCGCTCAGCTTTCGACGAATGTGTTTTCGCAGACTACGGCAGCTTCCCCTAAGAATAGGACGGCCACCCAGCCTGCGAGAACGACACAAGACAATGACCAAGTCGCGACCCCGTCCCCTAGTGGTCGGCGGCCGCAACGGCCACTCTCGCGGCAAAGCTCGTTCGCCAGCCAACATGCCACCAATAGACCAGCGCAGCTTGAAACCGATCTGGCAGAGCAGCCGGACAGGATTGCTTTCCAAGCGAGGAAAAGGGCACTTGATGCTCTCTTTCGTCGAAGTCGTTCACAGTCGCTATCCGCCCGGAGTATGCATTTGGACTCTGTTATTGATGATGCATGCTCTGTTGTCTCAGAGCGGGTCATTGAAACCAGAGGATCCCCCGAGCCGTCGATTACTGAGAAGCATCGCCCCAAACGTTCAAGGAAAGCTATTCCGCCCGTGCGAATCGACGTCGCCGCTGCCCAATTTCGTTACGCAAACGATCCTTTGCCCACGACTGATGTGTCCACCCCAGCAGAGGCGCCCAGGACTACGCATGCTGATAACCAACTGCTTGGCCTCGGCCCCTTTGGTACCCACTACACGCAGCACTTTGATACATTCCCACTCGATCGTGGAGTGTTCTTCCACGAGAGTACTCTCATAGGAAGCGGCAAGGTTGATTCCGCAGTTGATGAACGGTTTTCAGACAAGCTCTGGGAGTCTCGGCCTCGAGTATCGTTCCATCTGGGAGAACAGGTTCTTCGCTGGGACATCTGGACTGAGCAGGTTTCGTCGGAATTCGGCATTTTGATGGATGGAATGCTCGATCAAGTCCTGAAGCCTGTGCCTACATCAGAAGCTGGCTTCAACGCCAAAGATGCAGCGCGTTTTGTTCTGGACTACGTTCTCAAGTCAATGAGCTTCACTGACGACAATGGCGCTCTCTCTTTTGTCACACGTCTAAGCGATGTGACCCGAGCTTCCTTGTCTCGCCTGGATTCCGAGTTGTCACTAGACTCAAGCCAACGTCTAGAGCTGACGGACGTACTTTCAAACCTGCTGCTCATCGTCTCTGCTGCAGTTCGTCTTTGCCAGAAGCGTGCCTCGCTGATCTCGGAAACTTTCACGTTGGAAAACCTCCTCAGGAAAGCTGCCGAAGCACTCGTCAGCAGCCTTCTAACGTCTGGACTGGACGAGGTCACCAATCTTTATGATGACCTTCAGACGTTGAGGTATCGTGAGCGTGGTATACGCTCTGACAAGGTTGTTCCACACGCCTGGGTAGTCTTGATGAGGGTCTCGGAAAGTCTTCGGATACCGAGGATGAATTTCTGGGATGTCACGTTCCCTCATCTTATCAAGCCGGCTATCATTCGAGGGTCGAATGCACAAGAATTCGAGTGTTTATGGAAGGACATGTTCACCCTTTTGCCGCTATGCGAATTCGATAATCTGGGCGTTCTCATTGCCGACAAGAGACATCACACCCCGATGGAAGGTTGGAACCTTCCTCAGCAAGTCTTGAAGCGCGTCTTCCAGCTCTACCGCGACAACCCCCGTCAATCTTCAAGCTTCAATGACTATTGCCGCACGCTGGTGGCCAGATGTCACTATCTGGTGGAACAATGGGGATGGCAGAAATGCAGTGGCATCATTGGCACAATTTTCGACTTCTTCGGTTCTCAGAATCTGTCTCATTTGCGAAACGAAGAGGCATTCCGCTCTGCTCGATTTTTAGACAACCTCCACACTAGTCCATCGTTAAAGGTTGAAGCAGAGGATCGCTGCTTCCACATTTTCCTCAAATTGGTGGCGTTGGTCATCAAGAAGCTGAGGAAGAAGGACATGGTCAACGACATTCGGAACCTGGTGACTCGCACTCTTCCCAATCACGACCGACAATATTCGAAGGAACAGGACGTTCACGCACATGATTTGGCTGCTCTCAGGAACCACCACGATCTTCTTTGCACCTTGTTCTGGGCCGCGCCGCGCGATCTTCGGCCTCCTATACACAACCTGCAGAAGCTCGTCATTCCCGCTAGCTCTCACAAGGAAGCTTGTTTGATCAACCTGCGGGCCTGGAACCAACTCGCACGATTCGTGGTACACGAAGAGTCCTCTCTGTCGTTCCTTCCCCTGGCCAACTGGCAGGCAGACGTGTTCAAGCAGTTGGTTGACCAGTACAATTCCGCCGCGGCTGATATGCAACGACAATTCTTGGCAATGCCGAAGGATGCGACAAACAGAATCAGCGAAAGTTTCATGAACGCAATCGTAGAAAAGAACAAGGCTGCTACTATGGAGATCATGCTTTTCTCTGTCAAGTCGTCTATGGACGTCGTACAATACGCAAACAGCTTGGAGCTGGCAAGACTTGCGTCAAGCACTGGTCAGTTAGAACCTGTTAATACGCAGAAAATTCATACTAACATGTGTCAGTGCAATTGCAACACATCTTCCAGCACTTCTCCACCCTCCCTGCGGACTTCCCGTCGGTCCTTCTGCAGGCCTCTCTGACTACCTTTGAACGACTCATTGTACGGATTGAGACAGTCTTCAACGAAGACGGCGATAGTCAAGACAGCATGGTGGGCGTGGAGTCGGAAGAAGCCATTCTAGTAAGTCGTACCGCCCATCGTTTCTCTTCGGGTCTGACAATTTCCCAGATGCTTGAGCGAGAGCTGGCCGCTGGGTTCTTCTCCATGTCACGTTGCATTTTGGCCAACCAGGCCAACAGAGGCAAAGCCTTGGTTAAGTCTGTCTCAAGTGCCTGCGTTGAGCAATGCGTCGTTTTATCTGGCATGGTGTCTAGCCTGTTTGTCCGCTGTCGAATGATGGTAAGTTTGAGATTCTCTTTCACATAACAATGGACTGACCTCCAAAGCAATACTCTCAAATCTTCAAGCGCAACCATAGATTTGGTCTCTTCGACAATCTGCCTCATAAGCTCAGCTTGGAACAACGTCCATACCTTCCGCTCTTTCTCTCGACCGTCATGGAGAGGCCGGGGGATGTGAAGCTAGACGTAAGAAACAAAGTTCCGCTGGACATGACCATTGCTGACTTGAAATAGGACATGGGTATCGATCTCCTCCATCTGTGGTTGCTGATTCTTGTTCAACCAAACCACTGCTTAAGATTTGAAAATCAGCTTGGCCAGCAAATGCAACGCCAGGGATTTCCCTATGTCCCCAATAGGACACTAGGGTTTGTTGCCAATCCAGGTTACATGTCTAATCGCGACTTCTTCGAGTGTAAGTGCCCCTAGCCGAAATTGAGGGCCGGCCGACTGATTCTTGCAGACGCGATGAAGTGGATGCGGCAGTCCCTGCAGACAATGAATGCTGCCGAAAAGAAGAGAGAACTCTCCAACTTCTCAAAGGCGTTGGACAATGCCATGCAGCAAATGCGAACCGATCTTCAAGTCACGGCCAACGACTCAACAAACGATTCGACAGAGCATTCAACCTATGTCAGATTTGTTCGCAACATCATATCCCTCATCACAACCTACGGCACGGACATCTGCAAAGTGCCCCCTTTCTTCAGGGAGGTGAGCAAGGCGTACTCTCCCCCTGCTGAGGATCCTGAGCTGCAAGTGGCCAAAATCTTGTCTTATGGGCTGAAGCTGGCGGAGGGCAACACTGGAATCGCCAGCAGCCTGTTTTATCTCTTGCTCAATAACTTCAAGAAAGCCCTCCAGCTGGGTAGATTGCCACAACAAGTGCTGCTGCTGAAGACGGCTATGCAGAGCGACGCCGTAGTAGCATTCACCCTCAGAATGCTTTCTGCAGTTCTGCACGCTACGAAGTCTAGCCCTGAAGCTTACGCTCTGCTGGATGTATTCTGCGACGCTCTAGAGCTGGAGTGGAATGGTTCAGTCGTTGCCCGCCAACTAAGCGATGATGTGCTGACCGCCATGTCTACTCTGATCACATCTACGCTTGACTGGGCGACTGGTTTGAGAGGCACCCCTGTCAGCGCAGAGCACATTCACGCGCTGAGGAAAATTGTTTGGCTCGTCAACACCCTTCAGCCAACATTCGAGTCCTACTCCTTGAAGCAAGGTGAGGTGAAGTGGTGGGATGAAGTCATGGAAAGACTTGATTGGTTCAGCGTCCTCGTCAACGGAGCCGAAGAATATCTGGATACTCAACTTGAGAGATCACAGGTTCCGCCTCTATCTCCCTCAGGCCTCTTCCGGCGCCTGAGAGAGGCTAAGAACTTCAAGATTCAAGATGCCATGGTTCTTGAGTGGTCTCGAGTCATTGTAGATGACGTGCAGAGGAACTGGGTGGTCAAGGGCCCGGTGTGGACGGTTCCAGGAAGTACTTGCGACAACAGTTCGACGCAACCTGCACATGGCACGATTAAACTTGACTGGGACAACCAGGAGCTTGTCATCACCTTGCATGACCAACTTCGCATATGGAGCCAATGGTGGACTAGTGGGAAAAAAGAGCCCGGAGCCCAAGGAGGATTTGATTTTGAAGATTTCGCGTTATTCTGAATATCCTATGAATAGCGTTACGAGTGTATGACATATGGTTGGCAGCAAAGGGCATAGGTGCAAAGATGAGGCGTAGGAGCGTCAACGACAATACAAATAAAAACATGCACAGATGTAAAATCCTCGCACTGTTTCTAGTACACCTGTGACATGACGTCCATTTTGACTGGGTCATGGGCCCCATTTCTCGATCGAATCACAAGTCCATTCGGTGTGGTCCTCGGTGAGGCTCGGTGAAGAGTCTGCCGAGATTCCGCCGCCCTCACTAAGCACAGCGCCGGCTCAAAGAGCTTGTCGACAAGAAGTGCTTTCGCCCTACAACGACACCGCCAATTACTGGCATATCGCCCTTGTTTCTTCCGAATGCATGCAATAGGGCCACGGGCCCTTGCCTCAGCCTCTCGAGTCTCTGCGTCGTCGAGGTTAGCAGCGTTCTCGGCCCGCCGCCAGTGTCGACACTTCCACCCGTCCTTCAGGTTGCGGAAAGGCCCGTCCGAAGGCGGCGCAGACGACGGAAAGCCACCTGAAAAACCCGCCAGCGAGCAGGATGACGGCAACAGCAGAGATCAGGACGGTGTGAGAACCGAACAGCCCACAAACGAGTCGGCTTTCCGCAGATCGAGAGGCGGCGCGTTTGCGTCTGCCCGAGCGCGCCTTTCAAGGCCGAGAGCGGCGGACGAGCTTCCGCCTGTGAAGCTGCCGCAGAGTTTCCTCGACAGCAACGTGTCGCTCTACGACCCCGAAAACCGAATCAACACCCTCACGAACGACCTTTGGCACCACCGGTACATGGGCGCCCGCTGGCACGACCTGCTATGGAAGGATTTGGATCTAGTGTTCAGCCAGGCTTCATGGAGCGAAACGAGGCTGCAGGATGCGTTGCGCAACTTGCGCGAGGGCAATACCGAGGCTGTTGAGAGGCGGAACAGGATACTGGCTGAAGCATCGCAATGGTTGAGCCTTTCTATTGACGAGATGCGGTCTTCAAACAACTTGCAAAGCTCCCGAGAGCCGCTTCCCACGACAGACTTCGCCGATATGCTTCGCTACTCTAACAAGTTTGTTTTGTCGAACCTTCTGTCGCAACACACGAGAGACACAATAAACAGCGACCCCATACAGGAGCAGGTAGCGGATCAAGATGCTGTACTCCAGACGCTTGTCGAGCAGTATATCGAGGAAGGACGGCCGCTGCCAAAACGTGACGGTCTGCGATTATTTGATCCTAGGATTCGGGGTGAGATCGTCACGGCGGTGCGCGCCGAGCTTGCGCTCCAACCAACAACGGACATGCTGGGCAGGGAACTCAAGAGGCCTCTTACGGTCGTTCACATCCCGAATTACACTGGTCGGAGCCATACGAGGAAACTCATGAAGCATGTTGCTTCATGCGTGGAGGCGGACATCATCCATCTTGATGCGCAGGAGCTGGGCATGCTCGTGGGTGACTATATCGGCCAGGACTGCGCATATTCCAGAGGCCCCATCTCCATGATGGGATACCGTGCGGCAGAGATGAACGGCCGCTTGGCGAAGTCGGAGGAGCCTGCCAAGCCGAGCGATGAAGATGTGGCTGGAGAAATTGAGGCTGCGTGGGTTCACATCAACCAACAAGAAGGAGGAAACGGCTTCAACAACCCCATGGAGGATGAGCTTCAGAAGATCAAGGAGGGCGCAAAGGATTACATGCTTCCCTCCGTCGACCGCTGGGAGAACCTCAAGATCAATGCCGCCCTTGAGGAGATCGCCAACGCGACGACAAAGACGTCTTCGCAACCGGATCGCAACCTCATCATCCATGTTGATGACTTTGTTGAGCTCAATATGACTCTTGAGGGGGCTCTCATCCTCGGCAGACTGCGTTCCATCGTTGACACAATGTGGCGGTCTGGCCGGAGAGTGACGCTCGTCGGCACCTCCTCCAACGAGAACCCATCGGAGCAGTACGCCACAACACTGAAGGATATTGCTGCCGAGGAATGCCTCGTTCCGCTCCCCCTGAACTTTCAGCGCATCACCAACGCAAGCAACACGAAGAAGATCTACGAGGCAAACGACTACCTCCAAGAAAACCTGCGCAACATCCAACACATGCTTCGCACCATCGCCGGGTCCTCCCCGGACACTTCCAAACTCCGCATCGTCGGCGTCTCGAAGTCGCACCCACCACAATTCCTTCTTGACGACGCAGAAGGCTCTTACATGGAAGTCTCTCTCATCCCCCGCGTCCTCGCCACCTCTGTGCTCCCCCTTCCGGACGTCTACCACATCACCCGCCTCTTCTACGCCTGCCAGGGCTCCGTCTCCCCAGACCAATCCTGGCGCGTTCTTTTCGACGTCGTGGAGTCGAGCTCCTACAGCACCGCCCAACTGCACCGCGTCCAGGACAAACCAACCCGCTCAAAACCCTCCTCTCCCTCTTCATCATCCGCCGATTCCGCTCGCGCCGAGCCCGAACGTCTTCGTGTATCCGGCAGCTACAACGACTACGAGAAGAAGCTCCTGGCAGGCCTTGTCAACTCCAATGAGATCAAGACGACCTTTGATGACGTCCACGCTGACCCTGAGACCAAGTCCGCCCTCAAGCTCCTTACATCCCTCTCCCTGATCAGGCCTGAAGCCTTCACCTATGGCGTTCTCGCCACCGACAGGATCCCTGGCTGCCTTCTCTACGGACCCCCTGGTACCGGCAAGACTCTCTTGGCAAAGGCCGTCGCTAAGGAGTCTGGCGCGAACATGCTCGAGGTCTCGGGCGCAAGCATCAACGACATGTATGTCGGCCAGTCCGAAAAGAACGTACGCGCCCTCTTCTCTTTGGCCAAGAAGCTCTCACCGCTGGTCATCTTCATCGACGAGGCCGACGCCCTGCTCGCAGCCCGCGGCCAACGCAACCGCGCCGCCCATCGCGAGACCATCAACCAGTTCCTCCGGGAATGGGACGGCATGAACGACACAAAGGCCTTTATCATGGTCGCCACGAACCGCCCCTTCGACCTCGACGACGCCGTCCTCCGCCGCCTGCCCCGCAAGATCCTGGTCGACCTCCCCCTCAAGCAGGACCGCGCCTCGATCCTGCGCATCCTGCTCAAGGGCGAGGATCTCGACGACTCCGTCTCCATCGACGACGTCGCGCGCCAGACGGTCCTCTACTCCGGCTCCGACCTCAAGAACCTCTGCGTCGCCGCCGCCATGACCGCCGTGCAGGAGGAGTCCGAGGAGGCCGCCAAGCACACTGGCCCGGAGCCCTACGTCTTCCCCCCCAAGCGCACGCTGAGGAAACATCACTTTGACAAGGCGCTCAAGATGATTGCCGCCAGCGTCAGCGAGGACATGGACAGTCTCAAGAGCATACGGCGCTTCGACGAAAAGTACGGCGACGTGCGGTCCAAGAACAGCCAGAAGCGCAAGGGTATGGGTTTTGGCGTCATCCCGACACCGAGCGATGCGGAGGAGGCTAGGGTACGGCAGGCTGTTGCAGTGTAAAATCACCACACCATTCTAAAAAAATTCAAACCCAATCCTTTTTTTTTTCCATCCATCTTTCTTTTGTCTGTTTTCTCGTTTTAAGAGGGCAACCTCTTGCTAGTAGACCAGAGAGCTGTCATTCCATATTCTCCCTGGGCCTGTATAATTTCCACAAAAAAAACCGCGATAGGTCCCGTCGTGTGAAAGGTCTATACGACTATAGAGAAGCTTGAGAGTGGACGGATAAGAGTGTATCAACATTGAGATATCTGTCTAGGTAGTTGGCTGCATCAGGTAGTTTGCAGAAGTGATGATAGCCGTGTAGCTGCATGATACTGGCGAAATCAAAAAGGGGCTTTTTGCTGCAAAGATCTATCGTACTACTACATTCGCGCCATGTCTCTCATGACGTATTCAACTCGAGAGCAATTTAATAATTTGGGCAGGGCCATGTAACTCAGGCCTCCGTAGAGAGCTGCACGCCCTCGGCCGCGAGAGCCCGCTGATAATCTGCCTGGGCCTTCTTCAACGCCTCCAGCGTGGGCTGCATCACCGCCAGCACGGCCTTGCGTCCGCCCTTCTCGTGCTCCGGCCGCCACCCGCGAATCTTCTTGCCGGTTGCCTTGTAGTGGTCTATAATCTCCTTCTTCTTCGCCGCGATGATGTCGTCGCGGGCCTTCTCGGCCTCGTCGGCGACCGCATGAATACGCTCGGCGGAGCGCTTGAGAGACTCGACGAGGTACTGCAGCTCATTGGCGCGGTCCGGGTCGCCGGACAGGAACGCGTTCCAGAACTGGTGCAGGAACTCGACGGTCGTCGCGTGCGTCAGCTGGCAGCGCTCCGCAATCTCGGCTGGGAGGCCCATGGGCCTGGTCGCGTCAGCCGAGGCGTCGCCGTACTTTTCCGCGCGCCGCTGGCGGATGCCCGCCATGATGTCTTCGCCGGCCGCCTTGCGTGCCGCGCGGGAGCCGACGTGCGGACGCCGCTGGGTCTCTTCGTCGCTGTCGCTGTCGTCGATGATGCCGATGCCGGCGCGGAGGTTAAGGCCGTCGGCGTCGTCCGTCTCGATCATCTCGAGGTCCGACTGGATCTCGAAGATGACGTCGGCGGGGTTCTGCTTGGCAAAGGCGAGGTTGTTTGCTGATTGCGTCTCTTGCTTTTTGGAGAAGAAGCGGTTCTGTTCCTTGACGTTGAGGATGATTTTGTTTTCCTTTGCGTCGCCTTGCAGGTCGCGAAGGGCGAGCTCTTGGAAGGTTGAGTCTTCTGGGTCGTCGCCGTTCTCCCTGTCGATTGCGGGGGCGACGTTGGCCAACATTCTCTCGCTGAGAGAGTTGAGGGTGTTGACGATGGGCACATTTTTGCGGGGACGCATTTCGACGTCCTTTTGGTTTCCGCTGCGGAAGCCGCCCTGGTTCTCCTCGTTGCCGTAGACGTTGATGATGTGTGGCACGCTCTGGGCCATGCTTTTGCGCTGGAACGTGGCCGTGTTCTCGCTCGCATCGTGGGCGTCAAAGAGCGCGTCGCGGCGGATACCCTCTTTCTTCTCGTCCGAGATTCTGTCACCCTTGAGGGTGCGGAAGAGCTTGCTAAGGAAGAAGCGCGACCAGAACTCGTTCTCGGGCACCTTGGGCACGTTCTCGTCGTACAGACGCTTGACGAGCGGGTGCTGTGCCATGATGAGCTGGACCATTTCCACGGTGATGTCGAGCTTGAGCACATCGTTCTCGAGGCGTGGCTTGATGGCGGGCAGGATATTGTAGGCTCCTTTTTGCTGGTTGACCTCGATGGCATGAGCCCGGAGTAGGTTGGTGCGGGTGGACCAGAACTGCGCGTTAAACGCAGCGTCAGAGATGGATTCGGGTTTGGTGGCGCGGGCGTCCATGTACGTCTGGTGCAGGGTCCGGTCCTTCTTCATGAGGGACTGCTGTAACTCGATATCGCCCTTGAGATGGGCGTCGTCGAACCAACGCGCTGTGCTGGGTTTGGAGTTGACAGAGCTCGCGAAAGCCATGGAGCCGGAGCCTGAGCCGCCTGCCCCAGGATTGGGGGTGGAGTTCCCGCCATTTGCGTGAGGGTTTGGTGTCCCGGCTGGCTTGGGCAGGTTGGGGTCGCCGGATCGTATGTCGGCGAGGAGTCTTGAAAGGAGGTCCTTGATGGCGTTCGCCTCGGATCGGGCCTCTTCTGACGTGAAGTGGAAGAGGTACGGCACCTGGTCTGTGGCATCAGGTGGCTTCTCAAAGATCTTGAGCATCACCTTGGCCGCGGTGTCTGGTGTTTGTTGCAAGTCTGTTGTCGCGTCAGCGAGCGGTGCCAGCTCATGAACTCGAAAGACTCACTCGTGATGTTGGCAAGCGATAGCGATACGGTGGGCGGGCCATTGCCAGGCGCGGGTGTCCAGATGACGGACTGCTGATCCGGCGTCAACGTCAAGACACCATCCTTCTTCTTGAACGACGCTCTGCCGGATGGTATCGCCATATTCGCGTTGTTGGGGTTATTGAGCAAGCCTCATGAACGTGTTTCGCCAGTCATCACTTCCTGCTCCAGCCTTCTGAGGATGCGGTCGACGTGAGTGAGAGCTACCCTGGTTGCAAGGGACCAAATGTGTCAGGCGCGGCCGCACAGGCCAACGCGACGTTGTCAAAATTTGTCCAGCAATTGCCCGTCCCAAATCTAGTCGACCGCTTGGATAATTATGCCGCTGGTTGGGGAAGTTCTTGAGTGAGCACCGCCTTTTAGTTGAATGTGAAGTCTCAGGTTCAATGCTCCAGCCACAAGAGGGAACAGGTGCTGATGTTGCCTACGGTGGCGTGCAGGTGCATTGTGGTCCACGCCAGTTGGTGGCAGCTGGCGGATGCCTACGATTGAGGCGCTTTCCACCTGCAGCAGACCCCAAAGTCTTCTCACTTTAACGTCAACGTCACAGCATCACAGCATCATATCATCACCGCCATTTTCTTCTGTTACAACGATCGTTGAATTGCGCGTTGCTATCTGTTTTACCTGACGTATTTTGCCTGCCAGCCAACCATACCATGCCAACCAAGAGCCAGTCCTGGAGATTCAAAGTCAACCTCAACGCCGAAATTGCGAAACCAGACCAGGTTGTTCCCATGTCTATGATGTTTGACCCCATCCCGCGTATCTCATACAGTTCTCATAAGAATGTCGTAGCCCACGTGATTGATCATCCAAAGGGCGTAAAAACGTAAAGGTCTTCGGAAGCGACATAACAGTCTAGACCAAAGGGCCCGTCATGCTAGCTGCCATCGAAGCATCCCTTGGAAGAATCAGATGTGTCCAGAGCGGAAGCGGCGGACGTGGGCTCTCTTGTGGTTTCTCTTCTTAGCCCAGGTGACGAACTCAGTGGTTCCGGACTGGCATTTGGTACCAGCAGCCATACTCATGATAACCGACCACCGTCCGGAAGCGCATCGCTGGAAGTGAGTGCCCTCGATGCAGAGCCACTGGCCCTCATCGGTGCAGGCCAGGCCAGGAGTCATGGAGCCCGGAGCGTTGGCACCGCCCGAGGGAAGGGCAGTGGGAGTGGGGACAGGCACGATGTCGCTAGCCGTAGGAGCAGCGTTGGTCTGAGCCGGTCTGCTGATGGTAGCGAGAGTGGTCTTGGTCTCCACCTCAGGGTCGCAAGAGACGCTGCTGCTGGACACGGGAATGAAGACGCCGCCAGGGCTGTAGACGGTTAGCAATGTGATCTACAGAAGTGAGTGGGTGGGTGGGAAAGCTACTTACAGCGAAGTGGCGACGGGAGAGCCTGCAGCGGCGCCAGTAGTGGGCGCAAGGCTGAACTGAGGCGCGCTCTGGACAGCCGAGGAGACGGGAGCGACAACGCTGGGCTGAGCCGCGGCAGGAGAAGAGGATGCAGCGACAGGGTTGCTGGCGACCGGAGCACTGGAAGCGACGGGGTTGGCGGGGGCGGCAGAGCTGCCACCACCGGAGCCACCGCCAGCAGCGGCAGCGCAGTTGCCGGAGGGGGGCGCGGTCTTGCTGGAAGTGTTGTCGACATCCGGGCCGGGGTTGGGGAACGCGACGTCAGAGCCCTCAGCAGTGCTGCAGCCATTGCCGATGTTGGCCTCGAAGATCTTGGGGCGGCTGCTGAACGAGGAAGTAGTGCTGCTCGAGGCACCGCTGCTGCCACCGGTGACGGTCACGACGGCGCAGTTCATGTAGCTGTGAAGGGTCAGCAAGGCTCAGGGTTAGTCGAGGAGGAAGCTGGGAGACATACAACTCGCGGTTGCCAACGTTGTTGAACCAGGTCCAAGCGAAGAGGGCATCCGAGGAGGCAGGAGCGTCGGCGGGGACCGTGAACTTGAAGGACGAGGTGCCAGCGGGAGGGCAGTTACCGATGTAGCTGTGAATGACGGTGAAGGTCTGGCCCTTGTCGTAAGAGAGAGCAGCCTGGCAGCTACCGCCGTTGTGGTTGGCACCACCGGCGATAGTCATGTTGTACTGCTGACCGGCCTGCCAGGTAGCGACCGACTGGGCAGCCGCAGTTCCCAGGAGGTTGAGGGTGCCCTTGCAGGGGAAGTCGCTGCCCGAAGCACTCAGAGGACTGGTGATGCTGTAGTCGATGTTGGCCGAGGTGGAAAACGGGTTCTCCTTGGAGCGCAGGGGAGGAGGGTAGGTCATGGCCATGTGAGCCATACCCTGGCTGACCAGCAGCGACCACATGGTGACGGCGAAGGAGGACTTCATGATGTCTTTTTCTTGAGGTTATTGAGAGAGGAAGAAAAAGAATCTCGAGGAAAGGCCGAGAAGATGGAAGGGTGTAGGTGAAGGTTGGGGAAAACTTGGCTCTTGAATGAGTGTGAGTTTGCTCCTCGTCCTGATATGTGCGCGGGTCAGGTGTGATCCCGGGCTTGGGGTTGTGTTGTTGTTGTTGTGAAGGTGAAAGAGGTGAATGAGGGTGAGACGGTTCAAGTCAAGGTGACTGAGACGGGCGTCTTGGATTTTTTTGTATCTGAAAATGGGGATTGCAGACTCGAGCGCAGCTCGAAGGA